TATATATATCAAACACCGTCGTGACCCATATTTTTGGTGCACAGTTGTAGACGTCCTCCCAAGACCGTCTTGACGTCTCCAAATGAGTTTCCAAAAGTACTCACTCCTCTGTTTTTCTTGACCTGTAAGTGTAAGTCAGTATCCCAGAGTGGACTCGCAGCCTCTGTTCGGTTATATTGGTGACGTCACTTGCACTAACTCTAGTACTATATTTTACATAACCTCTTCGGTCAACTCAGATATCATAGAACAATGATAACGTATGGCATTTCGCTACTTAAGAAAAACAACGATCTATCAGCTCAGTACCAAGTTGTGAAAACTTTGACGTCAAAAACGTGGAGTTTCACAACAGGTTCAACTTTTTCCAAAGCATTTCTTTGGATATCTTGATAAAGATTCTGAATAATCTTACGATTTTGATAGAGGGTATAGAGTCGCGCGCTCATAATATGACCTTTTGCAGTTGCGAGCGCCGTAAAACCCCATACTAAACGTTCAAAAAATAGTGGACATAGAGCATTTGGTTCCTAACCTCAAGGTCTTAGTAACTCAAAACAGCCAAAAAATGTCGGATAGAACTTTGTAATTCTAAGGTACAGATTTATTTTGTGCCCCACTACAGTTAAAGAACACAGACTCTGGGCGCTTTACAAATACAGCAGCATTAGATAAACAATACATTGTGTTCTGACTAAAATCTATACATATATACGATATCTCATTGATCTAAAAACAGAGAAATGACTTCAGCTGACTTATTTTGATGTCGACGTCTGGTTCTTGCCGTGTGTGTGCGTAAACATTGGTGAAACAACACCAAAGAAATGTGCCAGGTTCTGGACAATAAAGATGGATCTTGTCTTATCTTATCTTATCTTTTCTTATCTAGTTTTATTGAGGGTTAAGGGATCTAATTTTCGTGACAGTTGGAAGCATATTATCGCCGATGTTTAATTCTAACCACTAATTTTCAGAAATGTGAACAAAAAGCACAGAATTTACCAAAACAAAAACAGTACATACAATTTCGAGCAATTCTAGTAGTGGTCACTTTTAAGGACAAGCGGGCTAACTAAGATTTCGGGGGGTTTCCAGAAATCTTGACCTACACCAAAAGTGGACATTGCCCTACCTATAGGAGAAGTTTGGTTTCATTGGTGTGTATATTTGTTTGGTTATAGAGAAAAACTCTCCTGATCTTTTAAAGAAACTGATCAAGGGGCAAAAACCTTACCTTCGATTTTCTCAAAACTGCATTTTTCGGGATAGCCTCCTTGTGCTTAAAAGTGACTATATAATCACACACAGGTCCTCCGCGCACGAAGGCGAAGTGTCTGAGCGCTACACCACAGACTCCGGGGAGGTTATGACGTTGTTGATGGTAGAGAGGACTCATGAGAAATGAAGTATAAGTAGATTGCACAACAATTTAAATAATATTATGAGAGTGTCGAGTGGAACAGAGAGGGGGGTCTCGTGGTTGTTTATGTAGAAATCTTATTGGAAAAATATTTAATTTAATTTTTTTAATCAAAGGAGTGCGGCTGGGCTGGATTGAAGTAAAAAGACTTAGTATCGCGAGAACAGGAAAGTTATGAGAAACGATCTATATTAATATTTAAT